ATATACGAGGGTTGTAAATTAAATAGTGGCAACTTAACCTTGAAACTCACAAAAGGGCGCGCATGCGTAAATAGGGTATGGGTGCGGTGAGGTGGCGCTGTTGTCGATGTGTAGAGTGCAAAAAACAGTCGATTTGCTTAGAAGGGTAGTTGTTGCGTGGCGTTAAAGTGAGGAGTTTCGTTTCCATCGATCTAACGCATGTTGTGAAAAGGCTTAGTGACGAAAAAAGACGAGATGCTTGAATCCATCGTGCTACTGTCCTATATGGTAAAGCATTTGCTCCAAAGGCTTCCACTAATTCTCGATAGCATTCTGTTGCATTTTTGCCACGGGCAACCTCGATTGTATGCCACGACCGCTGATCACCTTTTGAAAACATGCTTTAGAGCGATGGAAACGAAACTCCTCACTTTAACGCCACACAACAACTACCCTTCTAAGCTAATCGATTTTTTTGCACTCTACACATCGACAACAGCCCCACCTCACAGCTCCCATATCTAATTTGCGCATGCCCGTCCTTCTGTGAGTTTAAAGGTTAAGTTGCCACTATTTAATTTACAACCCTCGTATGTGAGATAAGCTCCAGAAAGACGCTGACAGCAACAAAAAGGGAAATGTGACTGTGTATATTAACACGCTGAATGAAAATTTTGGACTGTTTGGGACTTTCCACAGAGGACATATACTTATCCCCTCTTCTGGTCCTCAATTTTCTTAGGGTCAACGGTCTGATGGACCTTGTCTGACTTTGTCAGTCATTGAAAGATAAGCTACTTTATAGATATTATAGTTTTTTTATAGAGAATTTGATGTAATTTTATCCTTTAAATTTGGACGTTAAATGGTTTGAGCTTTAAATGGATGTTAAATTACAGATTTTTGACAGTGTAGGCAATCTCAATCCTGGCTGGAATAATTATTACTATGCCCTGACATAAAATATCCATAAAAACACTCTGAAAAAGGTTTAATTTAGCTTTTTTAACATAACTATTTTCTTTTTATGTTTTCCTCTTTTATTTTTTACTCATTAATTTGTTTAAAGTTTATTATTCGTCCTCATGACGAAAACTTAATGAGTGTTTAGAAAAGAGATAATGTTCTTGAACAATAATAAAATAGTCTCATTTATTTTTGAGCCGCCAATTCAATTAAAATAATTCAGAAAATAAATTAAATAAATAAACCAAAGAAACTGAAGCGGTTAGATATTAGTTGGTTAAAACACTTCGTTCACTTCAAAAATATGCAGATTGGAAATAACAGTCAACATGTTTCAAGAGCTCAATAATGAAAGTAAATTTTTTTTCTTGAAAGACGCTTATTTTTGAGCACTTGAAACACGTTGATTGTTATTTCTATCTATATATTTCTGAAGCAACTGAAGTTTTTTCAGTCAAGTAATTCTAATAGAGGCGCGTTAATTTATTTAAATATAAAATGTGGAAAAATATTTACGCTAGATGATATCAATTCGATGCAATAACATATAAAAGATTATGCTACGAAAGTCGAAAAAGCTTATTTGCAAAAGAAATAAAATATTTTCTAACAAAAGTCAAAACAACTTTCTTGTAAATATTAAAACAAATATATTAAACAAGACTAGTACTCCTTGAAATAATTAATTCAATGCAACTTTGCTTATTTATTGTTTGGTAAGAAGTTATTCATATTTAATTTTTGAGTGTGTCTTATCTAAAAGATGTTAATTTATTGTTTAGCACTTCAAAGACGTGTTTTTAAAACCATTCTTTCTCCGCAACAATTATGTAACTGTAACCATCAACATTTTTTGTTTAACTTGAGCAGTTATTTTAAAAAATATATTGCAGCGCATTACAAATTTTTTTAATGAGCTCTTAATTTTAGCTGCCGGTTTTTCTCAACTGTTTCAACAGTTAAGTACTAATGACAAGAAGTTTTATTTTTTTCTACCTCACTAAAAACCATTATTTTGCTTTAATTCCTGTAGTTTTAACCTAAATTATAACACAGTGATAAGCTGTAAAATGAGAAAAATTTTGGAAAAAAATTTATGACATTTTTTTTGATGAAATGTAGGTTTTCTCTTTTTGGCTACCGATTTAAATTTAGAAGGTCATGTGAGAAAAATGTTGAATCAATATAACATAAAAGAAACATCTGCAAAGTAGGGTGAATGAATGCATAAACAAATCGTGATCACAAAATACCTTAATTCAACCTCAAAGTAACACAGGTTAGACACAATACACTTTTGATATCATCGATTAAGCTTCTGAGATTAGACGTTGCGAAACAAAATCATTAAAATTGATTTCGAACCACACTCATTTTCAAAGAGTGCAGCGTAAAATGAGAACAAATCTCAAATGTTATTGAAATATCTGTCATGGATTTTTCTGTTTTTTTTTACCCATTGCCAAAATGGGTCTTGCTTTGTGTTTAATGGCGTGCGCACCTTATTTGGATGTCATCACACTTTTCAACTGTGTTCAAGAGTAACAGTAAACAGTGCACATGCGTCGACATTTCAAGCGTTGCTATGGCGACCGCTGCTGTTTAATTTCGTTTTTTACTTTTAATTTTGATATGCATTAAGTTGATGAGTTTATTTTTGAGATATGGGACCAGAGAGATACCGTAAATACTTCTTGAGTTGTGAATAAAAGAGAATTTCATCATTTGAACGATATTTTTGTTTCTTGTTGTTTCAATTAAGAATCAGAAATTCTAACCTACAGCTCAAGCTGGATCGTTTCCACTACTAATTCAGGTGAATATCACAAATAAAGAAGGTCCCAAACTGATTGACACGGTTCTAAAGGTTAGAGTTGAAGCAAGAAAAAAAACGGTACCAACTTACCGAGGCTGAAAAAACTAAAGCCAAAGAACGTAGACGGGAGAAAAATTAGGCAACAACCCTTTTGTCAGTAGGTAACCTGAGATCTAGTTTCCATCGCAATTTTTTTTTTGCTAGATTGTAACTACATAAAATTGCTTACTATTTTTCATTTCGTTCATAAAAACAGCTTTTATTATTTTTTTTGCAAATTGTTTCGGTACACATCTGTGATGTTTTAACAGCATCACTCAAGGAACATAGAAAGGAGAAGTCCAGCTTTTCGAATACGTAACTAACGCAGGGAAGTGTTTGGTGAGGCATGATATACCAGAAAAATATTTTTTAGGGAGGGAAAAATATAGTTTGCCTGAAGCAAGAACTCCCCATGCCATTCGTCTGGACCTGGGGTGGAGACTATGACAACGAGATATAACTATTTCAAGTAGAGATGCGGGGTCTCTGTTAGGCTTCGGCACGGATCGGTGAGAAAAATTGAATCTTTTCTTCGGTCCCTAGAGTGAACAAAAGCTACCCTCCCTGAAATGCGCTATTCTTGTTTCCATAGCAAGAAACAGCCTCAAACTTTGCGTCGGAGGGAGTTCTTACCGTAGACAAATTACACTTAGATTTCACAGAGCATCATATATATTAAGATCCTAAGCATGAGCAGAAGAAGCAAAGTGACAGTCAGGAGGTACGTCACCTGTTGTCGTATAATTCTAGATGTATGGTTGGATACGCTGCCTCCCGTCAATCGCCATTTTATTCTTTCTTTCTATGTCAAAATGTATTAGCAGATTTAATCAGCATGGATGATATAAATGTATTCCCAATAAAATATCTTAATTAATAGTACAGTACTGTTTATTGATAGAGTGAAAATGCAAAACAAACGAACAATAAATAAAAAGAAAAAACTTTTCTTGACTCCAATCCCAGTAGGGGAGACAAGATGGTACAAACCCGTTTCGAGAACCTCTGCAGCTGTGCTCCAAAATTTTGCTTCTTCCTTTGTGCACCAAACCAAACCAAACATTGATTAATGGTTAAAATTATGTTTATAGAAGCTAGTTGTCTTCTCCTTAGAATATTTTTAGCACCGCTGTAACCCATCTGATCGTCACCATAAATATCTAGGACATCATATTTGTTGAGTATCGAACTTGATCCTCGTTTGTTCCCTATGAGAATGTTTAAATTCGTAAGCACGTACGCCAGTATATAGTAGTACACACAGGCCAACATGGCATTAATTCTTTAGCAATTTATCAAATATATGAAACTTTATATTCATCCTTTACTATTTCAATTTGATGCAAATTTCCGCACACGTGCATCCATCTTTAGCAGAAATTGCTTTCTTGTGAACTTTACGGCATGATGGTCTGATACCGTGGACCACATCTCACACGTATTTCCTTTTTTAACTCACATTTTTTTGGGGATATTAATCCATTATCTATGCTTTTGGACTCGTCTTGGGAATATTTAAACGTTTATCTTTTGCACCCTTAAATTATATATAATTGAACATAAATATATTTCTTAAAAGTATAATCCCGAATCTGACTTAATGCCTTATTATGCAAAACCCTCTGCCCTAGTGATGAGGTAAATAGCAAATGACGCACAGTGCGCAAAAAGTTGAGCACCCGAATAACCTAAAAAAATATTAATGATCAGATTTTCACGTACGAATTCTGAATTTTAATGGTTTGAGAACCTAACCTTAAGTAGGCTAATTAATTGCTGCAGATGATATTTTAAGTTGCTAAATAGAATACAAAAACGCTCGTTTTCTGAATAAATATAACTTTCTTTCGATGAATTTGTATTCTTGATCATCAAACTATGAAGATTGAGCCACAATAGTTTAGTCAGAACTCGGAAGTTTTAAGAATATGGACTCAATAGTTCAGTCTGAATGATGTCGAAAATTCGTATTCCTTAATGTTAAATTCACTTATTGCGTATTTTACCGCCGAAAACGTATTCCCTCAACTATTTTCCTCAAAAACTCTTCGACCAACTGTAGTCAAAGTTTTGATTATTTAATTTAAAATTAAATAAACTAAAGCAAAGTCAAAATTTTGTATGCCTTACAAAAGTCACTTTTTTGCCATAACTAAAATCTAAATAATAAAAAAGATATAAATAAAAAATAATAAAACTAATAATAAAAGAATATAATAAAATAATAGTGAACTAAATAAAAAATCAATGAATTATTATAAGGAAGTGATTCTCTTATACCACCTATTAACGATAGCTTTACAATTCATTTAAGGAGTTTAAGATATGAGTTTACTAAGTGAAATTCAATTTTTCTTAAGAACCATTCATGTTATATTACCGGGATTTGCAAATGTAGGTCTAGGCCGAAAAAACCCGCCAGAGTAATTTTGGGGTGGGCCTTCTTTTAATAAAAAACCTTTCTTCAAAGTGGCTTTTTTTAAATATTTACTGCATTAGATCAATAGGTTTTACTTCAAAACCCCAATAACTATAAATTACTCTCATTAATAAAATTAAATGCATTTAACTTGTTTTGAGAATATACTAACGTGAAACTTAATTTGAATGGAAAGTGAAGTGTCTGCATATCTGAAGAATACATTAGAGGTTGGTCTCGCAAAATTCTACGAAATTTTTTTTTAAATTTATGTTAAATTAATATTATTATGTTTTTATTAATCAAATTTTCCTTACATGTGCTTAGCGTTTGATACGATATTACTTTTGCATTTTTCGATTTAAATTATAGGAATGCAGTGATTTAAATTATAATTAAATCACTTTATGAAAAATTATCTGTTTTTAAGAAATAAAATTATTTGTGTAGCTTGAAAAAGTTGTTGAATTTTCTTAAACAAAATCTAAGATAGAATTTATAAATTAACTCTACATATTACTATTGAACATAAAAAAACTGCTTTTATATGTATTTGATGCCATCTATGGAACTAATAAATATTAATTTTTTTTTATAATAGCACTGAAACTTAATTAAGGCTTAGAATCCTTTTTTTAAAATCGAGGGCCGCCATTTTTTTTTATAATTCAAGAAAAAGGTTAAGAAAAAATTTAGAGGATAAAATGCAGTGAAAAGTGTATTAGAAAACAAATTTTTATGTTTAACTATATAAGGAGACAGCAAATATTAATTTCATTTATAAGGGTATATTTAAAGAATTAATGCTAAAAAATTGAATTAGTGTTTCGTATGAGAATTCACTTCTAAATTTAATTCAGGCATAATAATTATTCTTTTCTTTACTTCGGTTTTCTTAATTATTCTTTACCTTAGGCTTACCGTAAACCGGGGCGAATCTACCCATTTTTTNAACAGGTCGGTTAAAAAGACACCAAATAAATAAAAACGGATCAAACTACTACAGCGCCATCTTCCTTAGAGTCTGAACTAAGTCCTCCGTCGGTAAAAATTTTTTTATTTGCAATTTAAAATAGTGAAAATTAAATAAAACTAAAATGGGTAGACTCGCCTCTGGATGGGTAGACTCGCCCCGGTTTACGGTAGTACTACTTAAATTCATTCTAATGAATATTTTTGCTAAAAAAAATTAGTGCATGAAAACTGCAATTATGCTCGAAAAAAATTATATTTGAACCAAGATGTTTCATATATTGGCATTTTATGGGCATAACAAATATTAAAAACGTTTTGCTTCTCAATGCATCACAAAATGGTTTAAAACAATTTTTCATTATTGTTAGCACATTCCTAAAGACCACAAAATTGCATGGTAGGGTAGCTTAATAAGCGTATATCTAGATTTCTCTAATCTTCATCAGCATAAAATTAACAAAAAAATATATTTAAGTATTTTTTACCAATATATTTCATTTATTCATTATTTAACGGTATTTATTTACTATTTATCATCTTTTCTTAATACTTTTTTCTACTATTACTTTTAAGTGACGTAATTTTTATTATAAAGTAATCTTGTAATATAGCCTTATTACGCAATTTTTTTTTCTCGAAAAATAAATTGAAAATGTTTATTAAAAATACATTGAAAACTGTATGTAACGTAACCCTTTAAACTATTAGGCAGTAAATAAGTTCTAGTTATTTTTATTAAAAGATTTATGTATTATGCTTTGTTTTGTTTACGTTACTATTTCTCTTACACGGCGACAAAAAAAGCCTCATGACAACTCCCCGAATGGCAACGCTGGAAAATCGACCAATGATTACCACTAAAAATGTCACATGCCAAATCTAGCTAAGTTGGCTCAACATATAGAGCTCTTAAAAATGGAATATATTTTATTATGTATTATTAAGATTATTCCAATCAAAATTTGCAATTAAAATAACGAACAAGAACTGTTGTTAGGAATTAACAGAACATAATATTACCAAACAATATGGCAATAAATATCTAAGTAATTTTGTAGTAACAAAAATTTAAATGAAAGTTAAAAAAAAAAACAAAATCATACAACAATGACAACCAAAATAAATGAAAAATGATTAATAGGCTTTGGAACTGAGCCTGTGTTAATGCAGTGCAAAAATTTGGAATCTTCTAATTGAGTGACTAATATTTTATTAAGTAACGATCTGTTTATCGGTAAGAAATAAAAATAATAGCGACGCAATTTAAAACTCCCTAAAATTCACGCAACGGAAAAAGTTACAAATAGATACTAAATTTATTTGTGACTCTCATTCATATTAGAAGCGAATCCAGCAATCTCATCAAGGACTCAGGAATAAAAATTTAAAACATTTCTGAAGAAAAAAACTAATTTTTTTTATTAAAAACCTAATGAAATCTGGGTTTTTGATGAAAAATCCAGGTTTTTTTTTCAAACTCTGGATATTGCTTTGAAAATTGTGAAGTTACCTTGATAGCTTCTCTTAGAAATAATCACTTAATGATTCTTTCATACTTTCTTATATTTGGGACAATGATTTTTGCGTTAATAAAAACGCACTCTCTGGATAAGAAAAAAAAAATAAAAAATAACGGGTGACTATGTTCCTTTTGTTAAATGCTTCTCTGTCTAGCATTTCGATGGCTTTAATGTCCTCCGCTGACTGAGACTTTTGTCGAATGCACTTCGTTTTGCTTGCATGGGTGAAACTATGGTTTGCCTTTGTTAACTACATTATTTCTGTTTTTATCACTGTGTTTTACTTCATTTCCTTTCATTGTACCAAACTGAAATATTAAATACTACAAACAGAATGTTTAATGTAATTACTTACATTTCTCTTAATCTTTTGGTAAACTGAAATGCATTAGGAGTGATTGTATGCAGACCACTACTTTGGATGGTTCTGAAAAGATAAAAGAATTTATGCAATAAAAAGTAAAATTATTCTCTAAATTGACACTCAAAATCATTAAATAAAATTTTTTGTGTAATATCACCATATTCTTTTTATTTAGTAATAATATTACCAAATTAAAATCTTACTCACCTTCCCTTTATTCATTTCTTAAAATATCTCTATATATTTATTTCTCTTACAAGGCGACAAAAAAAAGCCTCATTACAACTCTCCGAATGGCAACGCTAGAAAATCGATCAATGATCGCCTCTGAAAATATCACATGCCAAATCTAGCTGAGGTTGCTTAACATATAGCTCTTTTAAAAACGAAAACTGAAATAACCAGAGAGAGCATTCTCACCAAATGTGCCCTCTTCCGAAATTCACACTATGAGCTGCGGTAATCTCATACTATTAAGTTAGGCAGAAATGAGTAGTCTTTGTCGATAGATCTCTATTTTAGTATTTTGTCGAAAGCGCTTTTTTTCACGAATTTATATATTACGAATTTATTTGACGATTTTTGATTTATATCACGAATTATACTATAGCAAATTTATAATTAGTTTAACGAATTACATGTCATTCATTTGAATTCAAATTTATTTTAATGACTTAGCATTTACTAAAAAGATGTAATTTGTTTTTTTAAAAAAAAGTTGTTATATGGATTTGAATGATTGTTTTAAATTCTTAAAATTTTGTGCATTTGCAATGTACCTAAGTTATTAGCGAGAAAAGCGAGCTTGGTTTGCGATGCAAACCATATGAGATTTCGTAGCAATTTTTGGGGGTTGGCGAGCGTTAGCGAGGAGAGGGCGCAGACCACTAGTATTCATAATTATCAGTTTTATAAGTAAAAAAATATTTTATTTTTGTTAACCAAGCAATTTAACATCTATTTTAGGAGAAAATGCCTCATGGTGTAAGTCAAAATATTATTTCCTTTAAGTTTCAATATTTCTCTTTAGATAAAAGAAGAAAGAGAAAAAGAAATATCAATTTAAGCAGTTGCCAAAAAAATTCGGAGATTAGGCTGTTAATTAATACGGCCAGTTCTATTCCTCGAAAAACAAGTCCAGCACAAATAATTGTAATTAACTTCAGCAAAATTAATACAGTTGATAGTTAATTTACATAGACAGCTGCCTTTTTTGAGAGAACAGACCTGTGTTCGTAATTGTAACGAACTTTAGCAAAATTAGGAAAATTGATCGGTAATTTGTGCGATTATATATACATTGCTGAAAAAATTAAGAGATGGAAAAGACATTTTCTCAAATATCTAAAAAAATACTGAATATAAATAAATGAAATTTGATATGGATATAGCTTATTCTCTGATAATAAAGTATGCAAAACAAAAATGAAAGTGCCATTCACTGGAAAGATCTATTGCCAATAAATCCAATGTAGTCTGAACTTAAGGATAAAAGATGACAATAAAAGTGAGGCTTGTACAGTGTGTGTTGTCTCTAGTATGGTGTAAGGTGACCCCTGATAGACAGACAGCATGCACAACGAGTATGCATGCTAATAAGGGAGTTAAGGAGGACTTGTGGAAGACCCTTTTATTCTTCCACCAGGGCAATTTTTAAATCCAAATTGGTTCTGGGGGAGGTTGGCGCATCGCAATAGCTCTCCCAAAAGCATCCCAAGCATACTCAATAGAATTCAGGTCAGGGGATTTGGCTGGCCAATCCATTCGTTGAATATCCTCGCTTTCCAGATTCTCATCAACCATGAGAGTCCTATGTGGTCGCGAATTGTCGTCCATAAAAATGAACTCAGGGCCAACAGCGCCCTTGAAAAGACGCACATAGGGCTCTAGGACCTTCTGCCTGTACCTCTGGGCATTCACGGAACCACTGTCAAACACATGGGGCGGTGTGCGGGTATCTTGCATGTGCTAGAAATGTACTATGAAATGCACTAGACATATTTATCCTGCTGTGAGAGAATAAAAAAACCTTATACATTTATATGTTTTGTTCATTAGTTAGCAGTGTACAAAGTTTGACAGGTAATATCAGAAAAGTGTCAAGCATTCAACTCCTTTTTTGAAGCAAAGTTTTCATTGCAATTTAATGGTGCTATTTATATATATAAAAGCATTCTAAGCAATAATAATAATATTTTCTTTCAACAAGAAAGCACTTAAAAGCATTTATAATATGTCTTCAATGAACAGGAAAGCTTTTAAATGTGTTTAAAAATAAACATTTCTATCATTTCTGAGTAAATTAAAATATTCTTATTTTAAACAAATGCATTGCAGAAATAAAATATCAAATACTTTTCTAAAAATGTTTGCGTTGTGCAGAAAATTAATTGTGGAGATGAATTTTAAAGCGGTAATAGAAATTTAAATAAAAGCGGCTAATTTAACTTGAGACAAACAACATATTTTTATCTCCATTGTTTATTCTCAGATAATAAATTTTGAAATACATTTTAATTAGTTTCGACTCAATTTAACGATGTAATTGTGTATATAATTTGTAATACATTTTTTTTATAAGTTCTGAATATTATCATGCTTCAAACTAACACGATTTGTGAATTTATTCAGTGAGTAATTTCATTTCTATACAGTATAGCACTAAAGTAATTCAGAATACAATGTGAGTAATTTCAATGATTAACAGATTAATGGTAATTAACGAAGAATTAAGAAAATAGCAATAATTCAATTTTAAAAAGTTGTATTAATAAATTAATCCAAAAAAGAAAGTTATTATAAAAAAGTAACTTAATTATAGTAACATATATGATATGAATTAAAAATATTTTTCTTTTTGTTTAAAATGTATTTTTTGCGTTACTGATATTTAGATTCGGTATATTTTATTAATAGTATTTTATGCTTTAAAAACTTTACTCCAGCATATGGATCACTCCTATGCGGTTTCGAATAAAAATAAATATCTTAGAAATATGGTGTTCTGAGAAAAAGCAATAAACATGATTTTTTGTTTTGTTTTTTTATTCTATATTTGACTTTCGGCTTTAAATATTGAATAGAAATAAACTTGAATAAAGTTTTTTTTAAAAGCTAAGAGATTTTATTTGAAAACTAGATATGTGCCTTCTGGGGAATCTTTGAAATTTTAATATGAACTATTATATATTGCAATAGTATTAAATAATGCAATTTTAATATAAAAATCTTAGAGTTGTGTTTAAAGAGGAAAGTGATCATTAATTAAATAATGGAGATATTTGATTTTGATGAATTTAAAAAAGAACTAAACTACTTGTAGCATTACAGCTATTGGGATAAAAAATATTGAAGGCTATTTTTTTCCAACAGTTAATAAGGAAAACTGAAGGAATACCTTAGATAAAGTACAAAACCTTTTAACTTTTACAGTTCCTTAAATTTTCGGAAGGAGAAAAATATTCTGGCAAAATTACTGAACTGTAAGGTAATAACATTACAGGTAAAAGAGAAAAACCGTAATTCTGGTGCTAAAACTAAAATATACGAACAATTTTGGTGGATGACGTTTTCATGCCCCAGGCAATACTGAAAACAGAGCTCTTAATTCAATATTGGAACAGGAATCTGAATTTAAAAGAAAAATAATGACTTATATTTTACCTTGAATTGCCTCTCCGGTGTTCTCTTAATTCTGTATACAATTGATTTTTATATTTTAAATTAGAATTTTTTTACTAGAAAATTATTAACCCTAAATGTTGATTTAAGAAACATGTGAAGAAAATAAATAACAATTAACGATTTCAAGGTTGGAATTCCCTATTTTAATTAAAGAGGATAATCACCTCAACTGTTCTCGAAAAAAATATATCTATTATAATTAAATAAATAATCCCAAGAAACTAAAGAGGTAAGATATTACCTGATTAAAATCTTCATTCGCTTGATTATATATAAATAGCAAATAACAGTCGACATCTTTCAAGCGCTTTGAAAATAGGCTCCCATTTTCAAGACTGGCCAGATGTGAATAAGAAAAAAAAAGTGATTTAAATAAAACAAAAAAACATTTAAAATTGCCAACGAAAAATGAAAAAATAAAAGCGTAAAACAAAACTAGAAAAACTAACTGTAGAGGGAAAAAAATGAGAAACAGAACAAGAATAAAACACAGCGTCTGAGAAATGCAAATCAGGGTAGAATGCTTTTCCACATTCTATGGACAAGTGGTGAGGAGCTAATGTCAAAAACAACGAATCAGCATTCTAATTAAAACAAGATTCCAGTGCATCAAGATGAGCTGATGTGACTGGTGTGGAAATAATTTTAGCATAGTCGAAACTGAATTTATTCCCAGGATTCCAACTATGAGCAGCAATTGAGGATATTTAGATTTCTTGATAACGGATATATCTATTGTGTTCTCGAAATCAAAATGTAGTCATACCCGCACTGACAAGGAATGTAGTAAACTTCCCCGCGATTATCAATGCTAATAGAACAAAGCATAAATTCAACATTGACAATGCCAAGATTATTTGAGCATTGGAATTATTGAGATTATTGATTAACGTGAGCATAATCATTTATGATATAGAAATATACACCGAAGAGCCATTACATTATGACCACTCTGCTAATAACATGTAGGACCACCTTTAACCCTCAAAATTGCTATCATTCGCCGTGGCATTGATTCAACAAGGTGCTGATAGGTAGTCTGATGTATCTGGTACCAAGCACTCACCAAGTGGTCCTGCAATTCCCTCACATTGCGAGGAGGGAGCGTGGCAGCACGAATTTGGTTTTCCAAGTAGGACTAAAAATGCTCTATTGCGTTAAGGTCAGTTGAATTTGGGGGCCAAGACATGACTTGAAAATCACTGGAATGTTCCTCGAACCAATCCATGACGATTCGACCCTTATGACATGGTGCATTATCCTGTTGGTAAGCACCATCCCCTGCAGGAAAAACTGCTGCCATGAATGGGTAAACCTAGTCTGCAACTTAGCTTACAGACGTCAGGGATTGTTCCATGAGGATTATGGGTCCTAATGTG